CGATCGCAACGACCAATCCATGCCATGCAATGACAACAGGTTGTAACGCGCATCAGAAAGTAAAAGATCACAGATGCCTCCAACGTGGTGGGCGCATGTCGATCTTCCTATCACATGTCGAAATGCAGAATAGCGAAGCCTTGATTACAGGGGGGTTCGTTTTTTTTTTCGTGGGAAACGCGTCGTGGAGTTGCGCATCGTCACCCCGTGTACGGTTGCCGAGCAGGGCCAGGATGGATGGATGGATGGATGGATTCATTTTAAAGTACGTAACCGTGCCTATCGGCATATGCCGTACTATAGTGACTCGGGTGAAAAAAGTTTGGAGAACATAAGGATGTGAAGAAAGGAATTTGTTTGACCTAGGAAGTATGAGACATCGAGTAATCAATGGTGTGAAGGAGAATAAAGTGAGATGAAGCAATAACACATAAAGGGGCATGCGACCCCTGCACTGAGATTGAACAACGGGTGAGAGAGAATGGAGGTGGAAAGAGGTTGGATAGAGCCAAAGAAAAGGACACGCGACCCCCAGTGTTGGGGCCGCATGTTTTGCTGCTGTGTGCCTATGGTTAAGTCAATGTTTGAGTGCGCGGTTCTTGCGGGTGGGTGAGTTGGAGGGTGCTTTCACGGGTTTATGTCACGGTAGGCTGGTGAATGTTCCAGTGGCAGCGAAAGGCGATGGGTGTTGGTGGCATCTTGCTCATGCTTGTTGAATAAAGGCATGTGGCAGACAGGCCTTGGTAGAAGGGGTAGTGGAGAGAAATGAAAGTGTTGGGGTGACGGCAGGACTTGAACCTGCATTCCTTGCAGTCAACTTTTTGTCGGCATATGGGGCTATCATTGGCGCTACCACTATCGCGCCTCATCACTAAGAGGTAGTGGAGAGAAAGATGAATCGGAAGGGTGTTGGGGTGATGGCAGGACTTGAACCTGCACTCCTCCGGCCTGCCCATGGACTTATGGAGGCTACCATTGGCGCTACCACTATTGCACCTCACCATCCCAAAAGGTAGTGGAGAAGAGAAAAAGAAGGAAGGGTTGGGGTGACGGTGGGACTTGAACCCACAGTCCTCTGGCCAGTCCCGTCTGGGCTTACGGAGGTCACCATTGGCATTGCCACTATCGCGCTCGTCATCCCAAAAAGGTAGTGGTGAGAAGAAAAAGGAAGGGTTGGCTTGATGGCGGGACATGCACCCACGCTCTTGCATCTCTCCAGCCAGTGCGGCTCTGGGCTTACGGGGTTGCGGTTGATTGGCATTACCACGGTGGCCACGTCATCCTCCCTTCAGATGTTAGAGGCCTAATTAGTTTTAAACAGGGGCACCGCGTGAAGGTTTAGGCCCGTGCCGGGTGTTCGCTGTGGTAGCAGAACTCCCCCTCGACTGACATCCATCGTCGAGGCCCCAAGCAGGGCCAGGTCAAACGTTCGCATCAAGGTCTTGAGTCACGTGACCTAGACATTTTTTGAGCTCACCACTACGCGTGTTTAACGGCTTCGGCGCTGTTAAAAACACAGTAGGCATCACATCAGACTCGTACCCAGTCGTTTTCACTCCGTGGACACGCGCACGACACTGCAATGTGGAAATGTGACTACATGGCTTTTGGGTTCAATGTAAAGTCACGTTCTGCTTTCAATACAAAGAGTCACATGCTACTCCGACAATTTGCGCGTGAACACTTCGACTGGTACACATTGGTAGTAGCAGTACACTTAGGCATTTGACGCGATCTCAGAAAACAATTCTGATCCTCATGTGAAACGTGTCGCACGCAAATTGTCGGAGTAGCATGTGACTCTTTGTATTGAAAGCAGAACGTGACTTTACATTGAATACAAAAGCCACGTAGTCACATTTCCACATTGCAGTGTCGTGCGCGTGTCCACGGAGTGAAAACGACCGGGTACGAGTCTGATGTGATTCCTACTGTGTTTTTAACAGCGCCGAAGCCGTTAAACACGCGTAGCGGTGAGCTCAAAAATGTCTGGGTCACGTGACTTAAGACCTTGATGTGAACGTTTGACCTGGCCCTGCTCGGCAACCGTACCCCGTGGGACTTCATCGGATCCAAGTGCACTTCTCAACCCGAAGGTGTTGCAAAGCTCGGCCATCCAGTTTGAGGGGAACCCTCATAACAATTGTAGCCTGGTTCAGACTACTTACGCATTGAAGAAAAGGAATGAAACGACGACCTGATGCAACGGACCCTGCAGCGCATAATGCCAAGCAGCTGAAGGACGGAATGAAATCAGGGGTGCCACCGAAGGAGAGCGCGTCGGGGAGTGCGGCAGACACACCTCATTTTAGCCCCGCGAGCGAAAAGGCGTGTCCCATACTATTAATTTATAGACTATTCTCACCCCGTTTTCCAGAGAGGAAGAAAGAATGGCATACTGAAGCGCCCCTCAAGTAACTCTGCGCATAACCTTTCTCTTGTTTCCCAAAACCCCGTGCTTTCAGGTCTGTCACGGCATCCAGCAGCAAGGGACAGATCGTAACAACAACCCCACAGAGGAATCTCGTGAACACGTCGCCGTGCCATCTATCAAGGAGGCCATTCAATCCGTGTCATTGAAAGATCTTTTTAAGCCACAAGAACAGGACTGTAAGTTAGACTTTGTTCTCTCGTGCCTTACCGATGATGGCCACATTCTTGTTCAGCCGGATTCTCGCTTCTCGGAAATCTGGGGTTCAGCGGCGCGCTCTCCGATTTCGAACTGGAAGATCTCGCCATCTATGAGCCAGATCAATATTATTCTACCTTCGTTGAGCCAGTGGAATCCTCCGGCCCCATTTCCATCCCGGCAAGTGGTCAGGGTGCGGCGGTGACGTTCGATCCGCAGACTCCATTATTCTTTGAAATTCCTCCATTCGCTCGCGACGCGAAGGGGAAAATGAAAGGCTCAAAGGCTAAGGATATATTTGACATCGCAAGGGAAGAGAGATGGTTCGAGTCTGGGGGATTTTGGAAAGTCCAAACTGAGTATGTTGCCCCATCGCGTTTTATGCTTCCTGTACTAGACGTTTTGCTGACAACTTGCCTCCCCATCCCTTCATTGCGTCATACAGTGAAGAGATCGAGCGTCGATGGGGGGAAACACGGTCAGAACTGCTGCATAAATGCAAAAAACGACATCGAGAAACGGTCAAACAGTCGAGAAGACGCCTCGGAAAGAGTGCTTCTCGTGTCAACCCGATGGTGGTCCAAATATAAGGACAAGATTCGATTCTTTTTGCGAATGGGAGCGGGAGGGAGTGCAGACACCCAGCGATATCGGCTTTCACAAGGTGAATGAAAGCTCTATTTGCCCTGCACTCTTATTAGTGTTACCTACTATTGCCTAGCATATTTTTACCCAGATACAGCCTGTATCAAAGTGCTCACGACGCGTATCACATAATATTGTCCATGGTCTGATCTGAGCATATCCGCTCGGCACAAATTCCACTCCTCGGCTAAGTTTGCACTCTCATAAACTGTCCAGGCTTCTTGTTCCTCACCAGAAGGGAGGTGATGTAATGCTTGCTCGGGCCGCATCTCAGAGGAGCTTGCTGATGTGACCTAATCCACCAGCAACGGAGATATCGCCACGTACCCGTTGACCAACTCGGATCCTGTTTGCGTTTATTTTTGAACTCTGGAAAAGAGGGCGTCCGAGCAAATGATCTGTGAGCCCTGCCTTAAGCGTAAGATTGAGTTGAGGGTGATATGTGGACGCGAGAAGAGCAGGAAGAACTCAGGCCGAGTGGTGGCAAGAATGAGAGGTCGATCTTGGGGCGGCACCGTAGTGAAAGCCCCCAACCGAATCCGGGGCATTACCGGACGGACATTTCAAAGTGAGCGCTGTACCTAAACCACCACAACTACAGGGGGTGCAGAAATTGAGTTTACTGGGGGACGCAAGCGACATGTGTTAACTTTGCGAGTCTCAACTTGAGGAGACCGGTGACCGTGCGATTTTTTCAACAACAGACCATGCGAATCTTCCCCATCTCCGATACCAACATGCTAAGATCCTCAAGATTGGGAGCAGCATAGGCGGCGTTTTCCAACAATCCTGTTCGCTTCCGACGCACTCTGGATATGGGCCTACTTAGGGTATCCTTATTAACCAGGCGAAATGGGTCCATGATTGCGGAATGATCCATAGGAGCAATTCCATAGTCATTGACTCTGATGATGCAACTCGCTGAGGCCGTTGGCAGCGTCTCACGCACCTGGGTCCTATCCAGCTAAGTCAGGACGATCTGCCAGTAGTGTTGTCGTGAAGACTGACCAATTCAATTCCTGGTGCGGCGATAAACCATCTCTATGACATCCAATGACTTGGCACCAGCTTATGTAAACACGCCAAAGCGTTTATGACATCACCCCACGTGCTGTTTGGCTCTGTGTACTTCAGTGTACCCTTTGTGGGCCTAATCAACATCCTACACAACGGTGCCATGCTGCCTGGTTGGCTTTGTACCAATGCTACTAGTTTTAGCATGCCACATTTTATGACAACTCCGCATGTGGTGTTTCGCTTGGGGAACCCTTTGTTCAAGGAGCAACATTTTGGCCACTGAACTGGAATTGAATTCAATCAAGCCATGCCACCCAACGATGCTATGCCGCCTTGTTGACTATTTATCGATGCCACTTCTCAGTCCTGCCCGCACCCTCTTCCCCACTTCCTAAAGTCTTGAGGAGGCAGCATGAAAGGAACGGCTCGATCTAGTTGCACATCGAACTCGCATGGGAGAGTGTGTCGCGCTTTGGGTACTCATGGGCTCAAGACTGTTCCAACTACACGGGGGCGATCGCGGGCTCAGCCATCCCAACCGCGGCGAAGCGCACGAGAGACTCGTTCGACGCGTGAACATCGTTCGACGTCGAAAACGGCAGTGAAGGTCCAGAAGGACATGAATGGAGCAAAGGGAAAGAGTACGCAAACCAGGTTTTCTCTGCTTTCGCTCGTCCGTGAGTCATTTACGTCCTCAGGTTCTGTGTCGGACGTCACACTTGTGGAGGTATCACAAGTCCGCTCAAAGGTGGCTAAGTCGAGTAGCAGTGGGCATGGCAAGCAATAATTTTTGGGCTTCGAGTGCGTCGCTCTCAATACTTCATTTCTCCCAGGCAAAATGCGGTCATCTTCAACGGTTGCAGGTATTCCCAACTCGAATGGTCACCGACGGATCGAGGATCGTAGTTTAAGATGCGAAGTGGGAAAGATGAATGCCAGAGGCATACCCTACGCGAAGTTTCTAGATGCCACGTTTCCCAGCTGGAGAGACCTTCCCACAAATTTGGTCAACAAGCTACGAAATGAATTACTCGAGCTAAGGGACAAATACTTGGAGGTTGCGAAGAATCCGGACAGCAAGGAGGAAGATCTCTACACGCCCTTTGCGAGTCTCATGCACGGATTTTTGCGTGACAATGCAGGGTTGAGTGAATATGAATATGTACCGTCGCATAAGAAACGAAAAATTCGTGGCGCAGTCAAGGGGGCAGCGCGAGGGTATGTGTCCTAGTGACCTCATTTAGCACTACGATTAACCAATTTCATCAGCCCTGATGGAGTCATTATCCGCAAGCCGAGTGAAAAGAGTGACCCAACAAATGCCGATGACTTGGATTGGAGAAATGTCCACCTTGTCATTGACTTGAAGACAACGAAGAACTTTGGGGCTTCACTGAACCCTCCCAAGTCGAATTCGGGGATGACGGAGGACCAGATTAAGAATGAGTTGAAGAAGGATGGTGGCGTGAGATTGGACGGGAGACAGCAACTTGCTAGCTACGGGTTGGAACAACTCTCGAGCAACCCGCTCAAGCAGTTTTGTTATGGCATGGTTGTCATTGGCCACTTCGTCGAAATGTGGTACTACGATCGCTCTGGGCCCATAGGAACTGAAGTTATCGACCTTCGGAAGGAAGACCATTTTGAGCAGTTTTATAAGCACATGGCGGCGATATCGAACGCAAATCCTTCCAGCCTTGGCTTCAATCCTCACTTCAATACCACCAGATGGCCAGTTCCTGTCGATTCCCAGAAGATCACCATCGGCGGCCGGCTCATCTCATTCGACGCGTCTAAACCTATTCATATCTCACGCGGACTCACTGGGAGGTGCACGACGGTGTTCCCTGCGTGGGAGCAAACCTTCGGTACCGAGTCGGAACCCCCATACGTTCTAAAACTTTCTTACCAACCCTGCGACCGTAAACCTTCAGAGGCTGATCATTATGCCCTCCTGTTGGAAATGGGAGTTGAGGGCATACCAGGAGTCCTTTGTTCAGAGAAATTCCCCAGTCTTGCAGAGGAGGGACCACGGGGTGCCCTCATGAAACTTCTCCCTGGTCATGAGTCAGAGTTCGGTCCTATGCGATATCTTGAAGCTATTGTCATGGCTGACACACTCAAGCCTATCACCTCGATCGACATAAACAAGGACACCAAGACGTTCTTCCAAGTTTTCCTTTCTATCATTAAGAGTGAGTCTCGGGAACTTTTACTTCCATTGACAAAAAAGCTGACTCGTTCCCAGCGCACCACCAGGCATACAAGAAGGCAAATATACTCCATCGGGACATTCACATGGACAATCTCATGTGCAAGATCGTAGATGGACATCCTGCTGGGATACTGATCGACTGGGACTTCGCCAGTGGCCCAATTTCTCACCGTCCGGATGATCCACAGCAAACAGCTTTTACACTGAATGTCGCATTTCTCCCCATTGATTTGCTCCAAAAAGAATGCCCTCCTCGACTCTACCGTCACGATCTCGAATCATTTTTCTGGGTTCTCTGGTCCATCATCATATCAAAGGCTGATGCCACTGATTTAGACGCTTTCGCAAGTATGTCCCAATGGGGGCAAGGTGACATAGACCACCGCAGGATATTGAAAACGGCTTTCCTGACCCGAGGGCAACGGGACGTGGTAGGACTGCTGCAGACATGTAAACACACTGGCCTCTCTCGTCCAGGTGTTTTGCAGTGTCTCTCAACTTTGAGTGATCAGATACTGAGAGGTCAAGATGCTTTGCGAAGACGGACCCGGAGTACTAATATCGAAACAGCAGATGGTCACATTACATACACGGACTTTGTAGCTACTATTGAACTTGCTATACATTCCTAGCTACAGATTGAGGCTTTAGAATCCCTATATATACTCCGTACGTGACATGATTCCCTAGAGTTTCTTCGTCGAATGGGGAAGTATCTTGCGAATGCATGAACCAAGGTCTATGTCTTTCATTCCTTGCCGAGTAACCGTCACAGAGAGCTGACCGGAGTGATCGGATCCAAGTGGTGCCGAGCGGTATTGCCTTGACAGTGTCATCCGACATCATGTCCATCAAGAACCCCTCCTTCAGAAGGCGGATGTATGGCCACGTTCTTGTTGTCCAATCGGTGAAGTAATCCGATTTTCTCGGAAGATTCGCCCGTTCGTAGCAAATAAGGAAAAGGACATAAAAGAATGATTCCAGATCATGGCGATAAAGCGTACGCGGTAGAGGGTCGGGGTAACAAAGATCGGCGGATCGGAAAGCTAGGGTGCCACCAGGAAGAACAGGCACATCAAGAGACTCTCCAGTGTCGGGATCCCGATCACGAACAGCCATATCGAGATCAATGAGGACTCCCTTTGTGGGATCGTTGGAGTCGACCATTAAGTTGTTGTAGCTGATATCACGGTGCAATATTCCGGCTTTTTCGTAAAGTTCGTGATGGGCTGACATGGGTGAATTATGTCAAACTTATTTTAAAAAGATACGGAGAAAAGAAGGGAAAAAAAGCCGGTAGAACGAGAGTGAGCACGGACCTTCTACCAATGACACGAACGCCTCCTTAAATGTATCCATCTCCTGTATCGTATACAGAGGCACGCAAAAAGGTGATAATACTTGCACCCTTAGTTCGCGATCTTGAAAGGACCCAATTTTACATAGCATGCGACGAATGCGACCGTTGAATAAGCTGAAGGCTGTACATGATGCGTGCAAAGTCGATAAGCCTTTGACTCCCTTTTGATGAGCTAGGCGGTAAAGCTCATCTTCAAGATGTTTCGAACTGGGTTGCCACGACAGTTTGACCACTACATGGTTGTTTTCAGAGAAAGATGCATATGAAGTGTGCGAAGATGATGATGTGTTCAATATTCTGATAGCTTCATACACGGAAGTCCCACGTCCGTATAGTGACGAAGAAGAATGAACCACACTGATAAGTTTGAACCAATGTCCGTCCACTTCGACTTCATGATCTCGAATGTCCGACCATGATCGACGTTTTGAATCCACTGGAGCCCGAAAGAGAGTCTCATAACCAAGACATTCCTCGTCTGCGAGAGATAATTGAATAATAGAAGTGATGAATTGTTTTGACTGGTCTAGAATGTTGATGGTAGATGAACAGATAGATCCTGCGCGGTCGAAATACCAGAATTGAAAATCTAGTCCGTTAATGTGGAGTCCTAGTATGTGGCGCCTATTTCCAACCGACGATAGCGTGGAAAGCGCGTATTGTTTCAGGAACGGAGGATCGTCCTGAACGGTAGAAGGGGGAGCATTTTGCGCAGGTATGATAGAATCGACAACGTGATTGGACCTTTGTCTTTTCTGTGTACGATACGGCAACCCCATAGAGGTATCAAGGATTGGTTCGCGACGACGTCTTTCCATTCCTCCAGGGGAATGATGATGAGGTGGATGGATGGAAAATGCGGTTGCGAGAGAAGGTTGCGGTGACGCATGTGACGAAGGCGTCCATGATCTGCTTCCGTCGGAACCAGGAACAGGGATAAGACTCGTATTCGCCTCAATAATGACAAGCGCATTGGAAAATTCAAATTGCAGTGCTCCGTTGTCCGTCGCTTCTGCATCCACACCAAGGCATTGAGGAGTAGGGGATGATCCTGATCTGGATTTTTTCGTTTGGGCTGAAATGCGCTTAGCATAGTGAATATCGTGAGCGTAGCGTTGGGTGAATCCACAGTCCCGAACCTCGACCAATATCAAGTTGAATAGACGCATGAGTTCAACATCTGGATCGTGAGGGTACGTAGGACTCTGTTTTTTGTGATCGTACGTTTCTATATATTGCTTTCTGTAAGAGAGGAAAGTGTCACTTTTTGACAAGCGTTCCGCCGCCTTCGGTAAACTAGGAGGCGGAGTTCCGAACACTGCGTCGCAGAAATCCGTGAAGGAAGCTCGAAAATGACTTTCTTCTGGCGGGTTATGGAAAAGTTTTGTCGGTGCAGGGAGAGACTCGGGTGATGAGGAAGAGTTGGCGGTGGTTTGGGTATGTGCATCTGACGTGGTATATGGTTGATCTTCGTGTTCTCGATGTGTCAAAGTGTTATAGGTACATATCGTGTTTGAGCGGAGGGAGGGACTCATCCTCTTACGGAGTTTGGGTAAAAGACCTTATGTGAGTCAGTTGGTAAATAGAGGGTTTCCGGGAGAGACGCCACAGACCTAAGGTCATTGTTCCTCCCTGCCCCAGCACTTCGACAGAATGCGCAGCCATCCCTTATTACATACAGCAATGCGGGAGGGAAGAGGGTCAATTCTCCAGCGCAGAGAACCTCGCAACTCCAGAATGTTCTTCAACTGTCCCGACGAGGTAACGCCGAACTAAGGTAAAGAGCAGACAAGTCGTGGTAGGCCAATTTTAGTCCGAGATGAAGCGAGTCCGACAAACACGCAAATTCGATCCAGAGGCTAAGGTAATCTCAGATCGAGCTTAAGCTATGGTCAGTCGTTGACGGTGTGCGAAGTCCGAGTGCCCCCGTCGCGAACAAACAGGGCCGTCTTGCACTGCCACCAATTTTCACTACGGGTGCACGATCCTTTTATTACCAAAATAAATCTTATATACAGTTTGTGGACAAGGCCCACACCAGAAGCAAGGTTAGGAGCCCTCGTCCCAACCAAGCCCTTGGTAGAGTGCCATGGACTGATAAACGATTCAAACCAGCTGGATCAGAGTTTCCGGCATTCAGGCTTGTCCGCTATCTGTGCCCTTTGTGTGTTCGCCGCTTGAAATCTCTTGCGTGAAGTCACCACGCCGTCCGTTACCACAGTCCCTTGATCGCTTTCATGTCGGAATCATCATTCCGGAGCCTCCAGTTGCTGCCAGCATCCTTGAACAAGCTGTCAAAATCCCGTTGGCCCTATGGCACATTCAAACCGCGTGGTGATATTGCCTCAACTATATACACAGAACACTTGTCGCACTTTATCCTACCAAGGATCCTGTTTCACAGCCATTGACATCTCACAACTCCTATAGGTCAAAATGAACAATAGATCGGTATAACCACCCAGTTTCAGCGGAGCGAATCATTGCATGCTCCTGGTGACGAAGGTTGGAGCGGATTGTCTCGTGCTGGAGGTTAGGGGATGACCCCCCAGTATCAGGGACGAGCGTCAGGCCGAGTGCTTCAGCCAGTATCTTGAGTCCAGGAGGGGGTCTCTCCGCGTCATCAGGCGTGCATTCTGGAAAAATATCTTGAAAGACCACGCTCGGAGATGCTTTCGCGAAGAACTCGGGCTGGAACTCCATAGAGCTTTCTTCGGGCCCAATGTCGTCGTCACCCCCACTGGTCCGATGCTCCTCGTGCAGCTCCGCTAATTCTTGGACGGCAGGGAGTATAACTGAAGAGATGGTGTCACAAGCGAACCAAGAAAACCGGTCTGATAGAAGCCCACCCCTGCTTGTATCGCGTCGAAGTCGCCAGTTGCGTACTGCTGCGCGTACTTGCTTCTTAGCGGCTTCCCTTTTAAGCTTCATCGTCTAATCCCATGGCCAGATGTGTCAGGGCGGCCGCAGTAGACATGAACGCGAGGGAGATGGTCGCTGCTTACAATAGTTGTTGATCGAATTGGGCCCCTTATTGGCACGCACTGGAGCCTAAACCGTTCGCATGCTACACAACTCTCCCCGTCCAGAAGTACACATCGCTAGCGTCGAAAAAATGTACCGTTGACGGCTGATGGGTGCCCCAGGGTGCCAAACAACATGCCTTCTTTCGTATTCTGCAGGCAACACAGCCCTGGCTACTCTGAGAGCGTCTTGTAGACCTCTGTGCTGGCATGGGGGGAGGAAGTGGCAAGGATGCGTAAGAAAGGGGAAGAGGGGCGCCTTTTATTTCCAGGCATGCTATGGTCGATCCTTGCGTTCAATTGGAGGAGAACGGAAACGTTTGGTATTTTCTGGTATGGGCAATTGGAAAAAATTCATTAAATGCAATACAACTTTATGACTGATTTGGTACGCATAAATTGGGGGATACCGGATTTGTTTTGCGAATCTCACTCCCGAACGTCATTCCAGGAAAAAGAAGCACACCACCTTTTTGGGTCTTCTCACCCTCAGGAAAATACTACGTCCGCAGAACACGCAGAACAGATATCTTTGCTAGAAATAGAGCTGGTAAATTACTAGCGCTGCTGCCGATTGAGAGTAGTCAGGGCTGCAGCTGGGGCGAACAATCGTAATGAGCGGGCAAAGCATTTCAATACAAATACGACCAGAGTTTCGTAATATTACTGTTTTTCGATGTGTGAGGGATGCTAAGTAAGTAATGGGGGACGCTCGGCTTAAGTAATTAGTCTGATGGATAGACTGGCAGGCCCGGTCACCGGTGACCATCAAACTCGAACCGACGGAAATTGAATTTCGAACGCATCGACATCAATGAATCCAATTTGTGTAAATACACAGCCCAGGAAGCTGGGACTCAACGTCTCCGTGCTCTGCGATCAAGGGTTCATTTATTATATTACTTATTGGTGCAGTAAAGCTTGAGTGAAGCGCAAGCACCAATTCCAAATAGAATAACAATATAATGCGGACAACTCCGTTACAATACAGACAATTGGTTCGGCCAACTCCGCTACAATATTGCAGCGCAAGGAGAATGATGGCGTGACTCTGAGTTACGCCTGGGCTTCTGACCATTTTTGGAGCTTGGCCCTCACTCGCTCTTATTTTGAAAGGTCGGGCGGACTGTCTATTGGGTTTCGCTTATTGGCGAACTCTATGTCCTTTTGTATAGCACTGATCTAGAATCTTGCCCGGTGAACCCTGAACCGCCGGCGTTAAGAGCCGTATTCGCGTCCGCCGATAGTTGGATAGCTGCTATGGGAAGAGAGCTTAGATATGATGCCAGCAGACTAAGTGCAGGGGTGATACCTACCATAGATGATCATTCCAAACTTTCGAAGCGATTCAATAGTGTACACGAGGCGTATGCCTCTGTAGATGGAACCTCTGATCTCTCGTGTAATCGGAATGGTCGTGGTCTCATCCTGGCTTCACCATTTCAGTTTTCTTTATCGGAGCTGTTGGTGGTGCGGGGAGGATGAGACCTCCACAGCCAACCCTGAGTTAGCGACTTTCGAAAAACCCCATTTCTGAAATGAACTTACCTGTGACTTTCT